GCTGCAAGGCTCTGGTTTTTTAGGTTTCCTCTGCTTAGCTGCACTTGCTGTTGTTTTGGGTACAGCTATTCACAGAAGTGAAGTCTGGTGTCTAAATTTCCTTATGCTTGATATGTCTTTAAAGAAACGGCAGAACCCATCTTGCAGCTGCAAGAATGAGCATTCTGGGTTATGCCTTACTGCTGTTCAAGTCAGGCTTCAAAATAAACACTTGGAGATGTCTCACAGGATACTAACATACATACAGTACTTAGTGCAGTCAGTATAGATATCTAAAAATCTATGTACAGTTCGCTATTTCTTTCTCAATTCACTTCAAAGTAGTTTTCAGGCTCTCTGGGACAGATCTTTTTCTCCAACTGACATTTCTAAAATCTGAGTATTTTTTCAGCTCATGTTTTTGCCTCTGTTCTCGAACCAAACTGCTCTTCTTCCTCTTGGGAAGAGTGCAGCAGCTCGGTCTGGCTCTCTGAAAACGAAGTCCTTCTTAAGCTAGTTCTTTCCTGTAGCGGGATCTCCATGCTCAGCGGCTTTTTGTGCCTGGGGCTGAAGGTGTAACTTCTCCCTGCTCCACCAAATGCCTTTCTAGACCCAGTTCAAACAGTCCGTATTAATTCAACTTTGCTTTTTTACCAGGCATTCTGTAAATGCAGGCCGAAAGCATCGTGTCCTCTTTGTTGAGATCAAATACGTCCATAACAACTTCAGCCAAAAACTTTAGCTATGTGTTCTGTGGGTGATGCGAATAGCTGAGCCTGGTGAGAGCTGAGCGTGCTGCCCACGCTGTGTGAGGGTTAGTGTTCCCAACACTGGCTGGAGGTTGAGGTCACCTGCAGATGGGTAGCCTGAAGGCATTTCATCATCTGTCGTGAAACAGCCCAAAACTCCCTGTGCAGACGGGACACGCTGTAGTGTTCCTCTTCTGCCTTCCCCAGAGCTCTGTGCTTGTCTAAAACTGCACAGCGGCTCACTGCAGGTCTGGATGGTGCTGGACAGGACTGGGAATGGGGCTGCTCGGTGAGGTGGGAGAGTGATGGAGTTCCCAGTGTGCTGCCACGGACAGGGCATCCCTCATATATACAGCTGAATGCCTGACATTGTCATCTGTTCTGTTCAGAAACTTTAGCATTAGGGTTAAAATCCAGATTCACGTAACAAATTAAATTTGGGGTTTTTTTTATTATTTTCTAGATGCATTTCTCTGGGTCAGTGTCAGTATTTCCACTGTCTGTTTGGAAGTTTCAGGTGTGGGATGCTGTCCTTCCTGCAAGTTCTCAATCTAAGAAGTGGGCAGACTACCTTGAAGAGGGATTTATTTTCAGTCCAACATCTCTCAACAGCCCACACTTATGTAAATGAATTTGCCTATACACCTTCCTCCTTCTCAGTTAACTTTATAAAAATATAAAGGTCATAGGCAAAGAAATGCCTAGCTTGTATTTTTGTTTGGCTTTCTCAAGCATTAGATTCAAATTTAACTACCACTGGGTTTTTAGCTTCAGCATTATGAAAGCTTGTTGAAAGCTTGTTGGTATTCTGCATAGCAGGTCAACTGTTTTCCATCCTACACATCCTACATCCTTTTGGATTTTTTTTTCTCCTTGCACTGTACTTAAGCTGTTTCTTTCTTTCAGGATATGCAAATGTACTCCTTGTCACTGAACTGCCTAGAAGTTGAATATACTGAAATCTGTGCCAGAAGCATTAATAACATGAATGCCACTTCTGCTCCAAGGTGAAATTAGCTCCTCAGTCAGCTGGTTAAGCTACGCAATGGGCATGGCAGGGCCAAGAAGCAACTGCTCTCTAACTATGAAAAGCGATTTTACTCTTTCCAGAGCACTCGCGGCACAACTTGTTTCACTTACTGAGTCCATATCTGCTAGAGGTTGTGCTCCAAAATAGAGACCAGCCTGCCTTAATGGCATAGCAGGAGGGAGAGGTTAGGCAAGCATGGAGTCCTCTGGGGAAACCAGGTGCAGGGGATAATATTTTGTTTCTCTGAAACAAACAAACAAAAAAAGCAAACCCAAAATCCTGCAGCAGTGGCCTTGGGAGTGGGGTGAGGGGATTTTGACAAGGCTTCACAGATGTGTCATGGGGAAAATGCAGGGCTCTTGGTAACTGTCACCCTGAGTCTGGCAGGAGCTGTCACCAGTGAAGTAGAAAACTTGGGACTTCCAATATATTGTGGTAAAGGCAAAGAAGAGAGAAATGTCTGATTCCAATAAGAATTGTGCAGCTGCAGTACATAAAACAGTGTTTCATTGTCATTTATTTGGTTTTATGGAAGTGTCACTCCTGTCCTCGCCCTCATAATATACTTCTGGCAATGTAATGTGCCAAGGGTAGATGTGCTCGAAACAGTCCAATCTCTTCTGGTTTGCTGGCTGGATCAGGTGGAGCTGCCTCAATCAAAAGCAGGGTTTTCAAATTACAGCTCAAATTGTGTGCTCTGATTGCCTTGTCTGTTACTATCCCTGGTCTCCATCACTACAGGGGACAGGCAGTATTTCACCTACATTAACTGTTTGCTTGCTTGTAAGTGCATCTACTTAGAATCTCTAACAGTTGTGGGGTTTTGTGGATTGGTGGAGGGTTGGTTTGGTTTTTTTTGCCAAGGTACTAGCTAATGGTAAAAGCCTGATTAATATTGGGATTAAGAATTTTTGGTTAAACTGCCCCTTGGGTTTCCAGGTAGAGGGAAAAAGAGGTGGTCAAAGAAAACCCAAGCCTCAGCTTCTCTTGGAGTGGCAAGCTACACTTGCCTCCTGCAAGGCAGCATTGCCATGGCTGTTGAGCTGCTGCCTGGGAAAGAGGGAGGCCTTCCCCCTGAGAACAAAACTAGAGGTTCCAGGTGGTTGCTTTGTGCTAGTAGCAAAGAACACTTAAGAATATTCCTTAACATTTTCAATATAAAATGCACAATCTCGCTTTCCCTGTCGGGCTGCTGGTCCTCCCCATGACTGCTCCCTGTTGTAGCCAGTGGGGTGGGATGCAGGACAAATCCAGGCAGTGACTCATGTAACCTGCTGCAGGTGGCATTTGTGTTTTCCTCCTGCAGGTCTTGGCTGCAGCCAGCCAAATCCAGTCTAGTTTTCAAACTGAGCTTGGGTAGTGCCAATTGATGGCTGGTAAGGAGCTCCTGTGGAAGGAATTGTACTTCAGTGACTCCAAAACTGCTTGGGGGATTAGCAGGTTGATGGGAAAGACCTAATTAGTGGGCGGGCTGTTAATCTGCTTTGTAGGACAGCTTTTTCACTTTTTCTTGCATAAGTTAAATCAGTCCAACAGGTTCCTCTGGTCATGGCTATACTAACAGTTGGGTTTGGGGGAGAAAGATGTCTCAACTCCTGCGTTATTTCATGTTCAGCATTTGGTTCATTCTGTGCTGCGACAGCAAGCTTTGACAAAGCCGATTCTGTCCCCTGAAATGGCATAGAAGAAAGTGGAAATGCCGTGTTTGTTACTTCTGAGTGTTTTAGCCCAGCTAAAGTACGTGCTATTAAAAGATGATTAAACGAATCTGTACAAGCACCAGCTGGCTTTCTGGTAGTGGTGTGCTCCAGCCTGGCCTGAACATGGCAGCATGGGTAGGCTGTGAGATGGCCCTGGTGCTTCCGGCTGCTGTACAAACGCCCTTTTGGGTGAGGGGGGGGCAGCTGGAAATAAGAAGTGCCTTGGCCAAAACCCTCTCCCTGCCTGGATGCTGTGTCTGTGCTGGCCTCCAGCTCCAGTGCTGCTGGAGCCTGAAGAGCAAGCATGCAAGGCTGAGCAGAGGGCTCGAGGGATGGAGAGACCTGCTTTGGAGTTTTGCATGTGGTATGCAAATGTCATATTAATGAGTTGGATACCTTCTGCAGCCTAATGAGCCTTCGGTGAACTAGGGATCTACCTGACTCCTCAGCATGCTTGAGACACAAACTCTTGGAGCACCAAAGTCAGCTCAGTGGGGGGAACAGGCTCACTTGTTGGTCTGAAAATGGGAGTTGGGACTCTTGAACTGTGCAACTGAGATGTCTTAAAATAAAAATGTTGTGATGGACCTGCTCAACGGTGAGCAGGGAACCTAATTTCATGGAATAGGAGATTATTGCGTGGTTATTCCTCTAAGTACCTGTTTGCCCTAACAAAAAAGGGATTGAATACACTTCCATGAGGAGGAAATACAGCCTAGTAGTTGCAGTACCCAGTGTTTAAGATTTGGGCTTGGTTCTGTAATCAGTTGCTGAGAGGTCCTGAACAAACTGTTGCTGCTGCTTGTGCCTCAGTCCCTGGGTAGCCATGGGTGTAACGAAACTGAGGTCTGTTAGATGTTAGATCTGCAGATGAAGATTGTCCCATTCTGAATGTGAACTTCCTTCTGTGCTCATTAGCTGCTGAATTTTCTTAAGTGGAAAAATACAGGCTAAAATCTAAGCTTAACCTCTTGTTTTAAAATCCAAGTATTTCTCTATATTCCCATCATGGAAAATGCCAGCTATGCAGCTCACTCTTATTATTCTAGGCAGGTGTCAATTCCCACAACAGAAGGTCTGTTTGCATATGTATAGATGCTTCTGTTCACTGCAGAAAATGGTCGATAAAATGTACCGTGCATCACATTTTAGTAGGCAAGGACCATACCACAAAGCTTCTTAGCACTAATTTATCCTAAAGGGCAATTTAAATAGAATGCCAAGATTCCATTAACTGAAACATAAAACTAACTGAACTTGTGTGTGGTGGGAGGTAGTCTTCCAACTTGGTGGCTTTTGTCCTGTTAATATAGTCACTGATATCTAGCTATTTTGTGGTTATTTCTGCTTCTAGAAACCCTTAGACCTAAATACTGGTCGCAGTAAAATGCAGATGTGAGTCCTGTTGCCAGAGCTCTGTAAATGGTGCGTGGAGCATGTGCAAGACTTGCCTATTCTTTAGGTAAATAAGAATTTAAGTTGAAAATAAAAATGCTGTACTTAGGAAAGTTGACTTAACTTTACCCTTTTGTTCTTTTACAGGAATCTCCAAGCAGAAATCATGAACTGGCACTTCCCACTTCTGTTTGTTCTTGGGACTTTAACATCTGTATGTTCCCAGTTCAGTTTTTATCCTCTGGAGGAACTTAGCTCTGATGTTGGAATCCAGGTCTTCAATCAGATAGTGAAAGCTAAGCCTCAGGACAACGTTGTTGTTTCCCCTCATGGGATTGCATCGGTCCTGGGGGTGTTGCAGCTGGGTGCTGATGGCAAGACAAAGAAGCAGCTGACAACTATGATGAGATACAGCGTAAATGGTCAGTGATTCCTAAGGTGTTTTGGGGTGTGTTTTGTCAGAATCTTTGTGCTGTTTTGAGATGGCTTTCAAAGTGTGGTAGATTGCGTCATACACCAATTAACTCTGTTTACCAAAGCACAAAATGCACAGGCTTGAAGTTAATTGGCAATTTGAGTATGGACATATACATATACTTGAACTAGCTTATAAGCAGCTTTGTTAATGACTTCAGGGCCCTGGCTAGAACTACCTTTGTCCTTGCAAAATGTATTTTCCAGAGCAGTGTGGATGGCAGTCCAGTGCCAGCACTATGCAGGAAGGCTGCAGTACCCCATTTCGGGCTGTACTGAACTAGCCCTTAAAGTGTCACTCTGATAACAGGGCAAGAGAATATTTCTCATCACCACATTGAAAGCAATGCAAACTCTAACCATACAATTGATATTTTCACTTTGATGCTCTTCAGTTTTGTTCATTTGTGTTTCTGCTGTCAGGATCCCTGAATCTGTACTTCTTGTAGTGCCCTTTCATTGAAACAGCCATTTCTGCTTGTCTCTGTGCCTGACACTGCATGCATCTGTGTTTATATTCCTCTGCCAATGTCTGCCCCTCGAGAAGGGTGTAGGCTGAAGGTTCTTGCTGCTTTACTTTGCATGCTGAGTATTCTTGTGAGTGTTTGCCAGCAAGACTTAACATCTTAGTGCCAGCATTCTGCCTTCCAGGAATAGGAAACACTCCAAGAGGTAAGTGCACGTTTAAATCTTGAGCAGTATTGTCATATAACGTGCTGTCCTGTCTTCATTTGCTTTGCTGTTTTGGTTCTGGGTTTAAAGTACAGCAAAACTATTTGTCAGCTTAAAATCTAAATGTTATTCATTAAAATCTCTTCATGGGATAATCAACTTTAGGAACACTTGAATGCTCAAAATACAAGTACTTGCAAAATTTTTGAAGCATTTATAGCAACTGGTTTTATTTGGCCTGCAGACTTTCTAATTCTGTCTGTGAGACACAGAGGTTCTCAAACTCCTTGTAAGGTAGCCAGTACCTTGTTACAGAGGCTTGTTACGGGATGCTACCTGTCTCTTTGCACAGATCTCCTCTGCTCTTGTTCATGATTGCCTTACAGTCCTTTGGCAACTACAGCAACTGCTTCTTTGGAAAGGTAATAGTTGGAAAGTATTTAATTTATCTTTAGCTGTCTTTTAATGCAATTTAGCAGCTGGAAGCAAAGAGGAGAGCCAGCATCATGAGACCAGCCAGCTCTCCCCGGACCACCAGCAAGTGCTCCGTGGACCACCAGTGGTCCACAGAATACAGTTTGAGAACCTCTGTTATGGTATGTTCTCCAAAAGAATTTGCCCATAATATTGGAGAGTGAACATGTAGCAATTCATACACACGGTACTGCTAAAGCATTCATGATACAAGAAACAGCAAAGCCATCTGAGGCTTTTTCTTATGTGCAGCTAAGAGAATAACTCTGAACTAATTTATTCCCTTCATATCTCTTATCGCAAGTTTGTCTACATGAGGAAGCAGTCTAGAAATATTTTTGCCTAAATTGTATTGGGAAACAGAGGGAGCCCATTAGTAACTGCTGTAAAAGCAGCCACCCGAGGATCCTGCTAGATACAATGGCTGCTGTGAAGTTGCTTGCCTGGAGATAGCTTCCCTGTGTAGACAAGCACTCATTCATAAGCCGTAACGACGGGGGAGAACTGGGCCTGGTGAACATGGCAGTTCTTCCCTGCTGCCGAATGCCTTCTCTCACGCCCAGGGAAGGAGCTGGGAAGCACTCCATAGGAGCTGCTTTCGGGTCCTAGGGATCTTGACTGTAAGCGCTGGAACCTACTGCTTTCCCAAGCTCAAGTGCTAAGGGATTGATTCCTGCTTGTAGCTGATCTAGGCCAGGGCCTAGTCTTAAGGAAACTTGACATGGACCTTATTATGGAAATCTTGAGAGCTTCCTTTATTCTCCAGTAAATGGAAAGGAAGGACGGTGAGAAAACAGCTTTTGCTCTGCACTCTGAGTTTCAAGGCCACCTGCATAATCCTGCAGACCTGTTGGCTCCGAGTGAACAAGCTGAGCCCTTGACTTCCTTTGTCACTGTCACAGAACTGACGGGTCACCTGGGCTTATATGATATGAAATATGGTTTGGAACAGTCCCCTCTGTGGAAGAGCATGGTTGGTAGCTCCATGGGAAGACTTGAACCTCAGTGTTGTCTCCGGTACTGTCCCCAGCATTCTGAGCAGACAGACAGTGGGGCAGCAGGCATCACGGTGAAGGTCATCTTTTTGCTGGGAAACAGTAGCGTTCCTCAGATGAGAGATCAGAAATGGGTATTTTGGAAGGCCTCTCGGATTGCCTGCTTTGGTCTCCTTTACTAGTCCGGCACTTAATGTCTGAACTTTCATGTCAATAATAGTTGCATATGAAGTAACTGTTTGTTCACCATCTTATTCTAAATTAAACTTGCTGTTCTTTCCAACTAGGAGTTGGTAAAGCGTTAAAGAAGATAAACAGGCTCATAGTCTCAAAAAAGAATAAAGACATTGTTACAATTGCTAATGCAGTGTTTGCAAAGAGTGGCTTTAAAATGGAAGTGCCTTTTGTTACAAGGAACAAAGAGGTGTTTCAATGCAGTGTCAAGAGTGTGGACTTTGAGGACCCAAATGCAGCATGTGATTCCATCAACCAGTGGGTGAAAAATGAAACAAGGGGTAAGTATTGGCGAGTACTTTTTTGTGCATGGTAGGGTGGTGTCTGAGACCTCTCAGTGCCAGATAGAAATACTGAGGAAAGATGGGGACATAGCTCTGCCTTGCAGCTGAAAACTGTCTTTACGCTGGCATTAGTGTGATATTTTAGAGGTGATGGGCCAGGAATCTGCAGTCTGACTGTCCCAGCAGATGTGCCTGTCTGGTGGACTTGAGGGAAGTGTAGTGAGTGTTCCCATGGGATCAGGGGAGCTTCTACTGTTCTTCTGTTCCTTCATAGAATTGATGAGAGATCTAAGCAGTGTTCTCCTGGAACTTTCTCAATCATGAAAGATACTTTCAAGCAGGTTGGGTGTTTGACTCAGTAAATAAAACTTGTGGAAAGCTGTAGAGCAGTTCAGCTTCTGCTCTCTCTGCCCTAAAATATTGCAAGGTTCAGCTGCATTCTTAGTCATGTTTAGTGGAGAATTTTTAATTTACCCTGCCTTGACAGGACTGTCATGGTTCAAGCCTCTTGGCAGCTAGTTGCCAAGCTTACATACACTGAAGCCAGAGATCATGTTTTGTAATGTATTCATGGTCCAGGTGAACTACATGTTTGTTATCCCTTGGAGTTAAAACCAGTGCCTCCTGGATGCGAGGAGTGTGTTAATGATGTTGGATGTAGTATTTGAGATGAGGCTGTCAAATTCTTCCTCTACCACGTGATCAGTTTTACATAGCCATGTTACAAGCAGTGTGTGAATGGACAAGTACTTCAGCTGAAATTATTACCACTGTAAGATAGTCTTAGATCTGCTCACATGCTGGAAAGGGTAAGGCCCAGTTAGTTATAACATCAGTCTAATGATTAGCAAGATATGTTTGCTTTCTAATTATCCCAAAGTTTTAGTTTTTCACAAAGAATACCATTGGCTTTATGAACCTCATGAGTTGTCGGCACACTGGCAGATCAAGAGGCCTAAAGTAATATGTGCTTCAGGTTCTTAATGAGTGGTTGGCCAGTGTTATGACAGCAAATACTCAGATTTTCTTTATTTCTTCTAGGTATGATCGATCAGGTTGTAGCTCCAGATGATATTGATGGCAGTTTGACCAGACTGGTTCTTGTAAATGCTGTATATTTCAAGGGCTTATGGAAGTCACGATTTCGTCCTGAAAATACAAAGAAACGTCCGTTTTATGGAGCTGATGGGAAGACCTACCAAGTTCCTATGCTGTCCCAATTATCCATCTTCCGCTGTGGTAAGCTCAGTAACTCCCACTACTACCAACAATGGTTGTAAAAATTTGTTCTTTTCCTTCAAACTGAAACGAGTTTGCTGTACATGTGGTGTTTAATGGTATTGCTTATTGTGGCTGATGTAGGAGGCTTTTCGTCACAGAAGTATCTCCTACTGCTGAGGTATGGATGAGTTTGCTGTGCAAGGTATTTAGCAGTTGCTTAAGGTTGAATAGTCTGTCAAAGTACTTGTCTTATCATGTTGCCTTTAAAAAGGAAAATCTAAAGTACCCGAACTGAGACCTTTTGCACGTTGCTGAACCTTTGCAGTAAGAACAAACCCTTATTTTTTTAAGGGGTGAGAAGAAAGGGAAACTGCCAACAGAAACAGAACCCTGAGGTTTATTTGGTCGTGAGTTGTGTATGAAAGAAAGATTGGGGTATAATCAATCTATATTTTCGTGTATAATAAAGAAATGGGACGTGCACAGTTCCTGGTCCTGTGGGAGGCAGAAGAGCAAAGGATTAGTATGTTGGCTGTATATCTCAAGGCATGAAGCTCCTCTTCAAATTCAAATTGAGTCACAAGTGAAAAGAAGATCAGCAGGTTCAGCCAGACTTCCACCAGAGACTCTCAGAGCTGACATAGGCAGCTCCGTGGGACCAGTGATGTACTTGAGAGCTTCAGTGTTGCAGTCCTATGAGGATTTTATTGGTCAAAGTAAGACTGAAGCTGGGATAAAACAGTATTTTCTGTTGTGTTATTCCAAGAAAGTAATGCTGTCTGGAAGTAGTTTCCACATGTGCTAAATACAGCCTGAGAAATAGGCCTGAGAATACAGGTTGCTATAAATCCAAAAACTAAGACCCACTGTGCTTTTAAATACTTAGTTTTACTGTTAGTAGTGCTCAACTAAAATTAGTAGATTTGTATTAAAATAAACAGCTCTAACTTTGTCCCAAACCCGTGTATTAGGGCAGATCTAATATAATACTTGGAGATAACTGCTGAAAGTGTGAGCTGGGGGAGATGGGGAAGCCTCCTGCAGTGTATACTACTTGTCTGTGGAGTCTGAAAGATCTTCATATCTTAAGATGAGCTTTAGCAAGACTGTTATCTTAAAGGCTTCTGACTTTTTATTCTGATGCTGGTTAAAAACTCCATTAAGCTGGCCTATGTTTAAGCCAGAAAAGCTATGGAGGCTAGAAAGGTACAAGAGAAATGCTGCTGAGTTAGGACACATTTTAGGTTGTGTATCTCTGGATATCCTATATTGTATATTATTTATCTTGTATCTTATTTTTGCTTGCAAAAGCATCTTTTAAAAGTTTAAATTTTTTAAGCATCTTAAATCCCATCAGTTGGCTGAAGATGAACTCCCCTCCTGTTGGATGTGTCTCAGGAGTGGTGCCAGTGGCACGTGGCAGATCAGGAAAGTAGTAATTCCCTCTTAACCTTTTGTTACTGTCCACTACCTGACTTAAGCAACCAGTATTTTGATCTGTAGGCCTTAGTCCGAGAACCACTGTCATAATAAAAGGAAATAATCAAACTGCCAAGCTTGTCACAGTTACTACAAAATAAGTGCAATACTGCCAGTTTTCTAGCACATGAGCTTAGTCAAGGCAGGTTGCATGGCCCTGGCAACAAGATTAAATTTCTAATGAAGATGTCAATTTTCAGCTTGGGCTGACAAGTGCAGACTTACATGAAGAGAAGGGAAAGATAATAAGATCTTACTGCTGTCCAAAAAACTTTCCCAGAAACCCTGACAAGTTTTCACTTGAAATGCCTATAAAAAGCATTTGCTTCCCAGTCACACGCCAGTAACCAAAGGGAACTCGGAGGAGGAGAGGTTGCTCAGAGACAGTTTTCCCAGCACTTACAGGAACTCACGGAGGCGTTGCTATCTCACTCCTTCTCATCTACTTGGCCTCCTGCGCTGCCTCAGAGTGGCTGCTCTCCACTGCCTTGAAGGACTCCTTCCTAATGAGATCCTTATTAAGCAAGAAAATGAAGTAATTGCAACAGAGTGCTTCAAACAGGAGCTCTTCCAATAACTCTTGGAGGAAAAAGCTTGTCTACAAAATCTCTTCAGTTTGGAAAGATAGTCTGCTGCTGTTTTTTGCTTTTTGTTTTTCAGTGCTCAGTTGGTCCTGGTACAGCTGAGATCTGAAGTAGAGATCCAGCTGACTCACAGACCTGGTGATTTCTAACATAATGGCTTGTCACTCTGGGCTGATGAGGTTTGTCTGGGAAACAGAATGCACGTCAAACTCAAATCAGTATTTGTTTCATGGTGTCAGCCTGCCTGTGCTTTTTTTTTCAAACTAGCATCTGTACAGAGCCCATGCCACTCTGGAAGGGTTGCCTAGCAGGAAGGCAGACAGCCTGTGACTTTTTATAGTCAATTTTAAAGTACGGGTAGAACTTTCTTAACAGACTCTCATAGCAGTAGGTGTCTAAAGGTATAATAGAGATGTAAGGCTGTAAGAACTATGGCTCATTAGCTTTGCTTTTTTTTTTTTTTTAAGGAACTACAAGCACTCCAAATGAGCTTTGGTATAATATCATCGAATTGCCTTACCATGGTGAAATGATAAGCATGTTGATTGCTCTGCCTACTGAAAGCACAACACCGCTCTCTGCTATCATTCCTCACATCAGCACAAAAACAATAGGAAGCTGGATGACAACCATGGTGGCAAAAAGAGTGCAGGTTATTTTACCCAAGTAAGTACTAATATAACCCATTTCTCCTTCAAGGAATGTTTTGGGGGTCTTATATGTCTATCTCCTCTGATACAGGAGAAATGGAGTGCTTAAGGCAACTTTCCTGCATAATACTGGTGCATTCTTTTTCGTTTGTTCCAACTAGGTTTACAGCAGTAGCAGAAACAGACTTAAAGGACCCTCTGAAAGCACTTGGTATTACAGATATGTTTGACCAGTCGAAGGCAAACTTTGCAAAAATAACAAGTAAGTTTTTGTTTGTTTGTTTTAATCCATGGTGGTCCTTATTAATAGTTTCTGGCACTGAATAAAATGCTGGTTTACCAATGCAGTTGTCTGTTTTGTCTTGAATAAGTGTTACCATGACACTGGAGCAAGCTCTGTGTTGTAGCCAGCCAAGCACAGCTGCTTGTTTCTATTGAATGCTGCAGTGGCTTCTTTCCCCTTGTCTTGTGTTACAGCAGTAAATCATGTTGGTCAGCTTCTTAAGATGTGATATTACAGCCTGAGGGTCTCGAGCATTGTCTAAAATCTACGGCAGGACTTCTAACAATACCATACCTTGAGCTGTAACAAATACTGCAACTGCAGTGTTTAACTTTTCCTTGAAGCACGCGTTTAATGACTCTTTCTTGAGCTGTAGGAAAGCTCAAGGACTACATTCCCAGTTAAAGGGACTGGAGCAAACCAGAGCTGTAAATATTGGTGTCTGAAAATGGGGTGTAGACATGGCTCTAAAATGTCATCTTATTTCTGTTCTCTGCTTCTGTTAAACTCCCAATTAGCTCCTACAGGAAGATCTAACAAAAAAGCCTGCCTTGTGCTGGCTTAATTTGAAAACAAATTCCTGTGTTTCATTGAAAGCAAAGTGTCTTTGCCAAGTGCTTTTTTTTTTCCTCCCCAACATTGAGATAAATGGGAGTCTAACTTAAATTCAGATGGCATTTTTTTTCTCCAGTCATTTTTTTTAATTAATACTAAAAATGCAAGTGAACTCTTATAACTAAAACTATCAAATAAGAAAACCTAGTAAATGGGGAGGAGGAAGATAGGTTATTCCCCATTTTTTTTGTAATTACTAACTTGGTGCATGTCAGGATTTCAGCAGGATTGCAGCAACTCTTACTATTCTTAGCCATGCTAGCATAGCTGTTACCTACAAGGTACTTTGACTCTTGTGGTTAGTTTCACTGAAAGTGCTGCTCTCCTTGGCTTTTTCAGGATCAGAAGGTCTTCATGTATCGCATGTTCTGCAAAAGACAAAAATTGAAGTTAGTGAAGATGGAACCAAAGCTTCTGCAGCAACAAGTAAGCAACTGTACTGATAATTGTCAGACTCAGGAAAGCTCCAATAGAAGACTATACTGCTAAGCAAAGGTAGCCCACTTTGAGACCATTTCAGGAACGTGCTCTCGCTTCCCATTGGATCAGCTGATGGGTGTTATGTAATTCCTCAGGAAAATCCCAACTTGCCAGTATTGATCACACCTTCGATATACTCTTAAGAAGTAGAAGCAGGCTTACTTCTAGAGAAGCGTTTTCTAATAGCTAACACCTTGGCCACCAATGTAACTTTCCTGGCTATCCAGGTGGCAAAGAGGACTAGGCTACTACATCCTTTGGGTGTCAACCCAAGACTTCCTTCCAGCTTTCTGTGTCTCTTTAACATGGTTCCCATAATAACGTGTAACCTGTGTGGCTTTAAATGTCCAAGTTGGTAGGTTTTAGGCATTTCTCTCTACTTGTGCAAGTTTCTAGTATACAGTAGGAAACTTCTCTGAGAGTGTATAATGTGTTGTGGTACTTGCTTTGTCTAACTTTTTAAACTTTTTCTTGCAAGCTGCAATTTTAATAGCCAGGTCGTCCCCTCCTTGGTTCATAGTAGACAGACCATTTGTATTTTTCATCCGGCACAATCCCACAGGTAAGCAGCATTCCTGGGTACTTTTTCTGCTTACAAATTGAATATCAGTTATGCAATAGAGACAAAAGAAGTCTGGAGCTACTGAATAACTATTGCTTTAAAAAAATCATGCAAGTATGTTCTTACGCCTTTAATATTAGATTATTTTACTTGGAATACAACTCAGAACAGGAAAAAAACATAAGTATTGGTTGCCAAGTTAACAGAAACAAGTGTGGCAGGTTCATGGGTACAAAAGAATAGTCTTTAATTCTCATAGTTCCCCTGAGTGGAGAGGAAATAATTCTGTTACCGATAGTGAATTGGTGAATAGGACTCGGCTTTCCAAAGGACAGGAAAACAGTGCTGGGGCAAAGGCTAGAACAGGGGCTGTGGGGATGTAGGGTGTTGCCCCAGCCTGCTGTGAACAGAAGTGAGTGTGCAAACATAGTGATCATGGTTTCTTTGCAGTATGGGTTGACCCTCCTGGAGCAGAGCTGCCCCAGTTACTTTGAATAACTCATCTACTTCTTGCAGTGACACGTGGATGATAAATATGCTAGTTAGTAGGGAAGAAGGTGCAGCTGCCAGCACCAGGGGAAGAGTAGGCTCCTGGCATCAGTCCCCATCCCGAGGCTCCACAGAGCATTGACAGAACTGTGTGTCTCTAGAAATGTGAGCTAGCCACCTATCCAAACACACGCTTCCCTGGGCTCACAAACTTGAGGGAGGCTAGACAAGACTGTGACGAGGTGGCTTGGCTGTGCTCTCTGGACTTCATGCTTTCATGGAAATATTTGCAGACTATGGTAATCCTTGTTTTCGTTTCATCCCTCAGGTACAATCTTGTTTATGGGACAAATAAACAAACCTTGAATGTGGAAAAGACCTTCTTCAAGAAGTAAACAGACTCATGTGACACACCCCTGTTCTGTTAAATATTTTGTACACTACTCTTTGACTTCACTCAAGAGCTAGTTTTAACCACTGACTAGGTTTTGAAACAGGAGTCGACGTAGTTCTGGCTTTGGGGGGGGAAAATACAGATTGAAAACTACAGTATCTCTTAAAAATGTCTAAAAGATTCTTTAAACTACTGAATGGTTACCTATGCTAACAAACTTTTGACCTTTTCTGTATCTACTAAGAATTTTATGTATGGCTTTTGTGAGAGGATTTTAACAGAGAATGATAAACGTTTTTATTAATATTGATTTTCTTCTTGTGTGTGGAAAAGGTCTAATTTTGTAGATACTGCCTATCAAAATTACTTTTGGTTCTTGAGTGTCTTGGTACCTGGATATTCTTGGTAGAAATAGATTAAAAGTTCTAGCAATTTTTATTTTATATAGTGCATGTATCACTGAGAGTTTTAAAACTAATGTGGTGTTAGATACACATCGCATTGTCCTGTCTTATTGTAATGTAAACTTGTCATTGCTAGTATACACTTTCTATTGGATTTAAATTTTATATTTGTTTTTGTACAAAGGAAAAAATAAAACTGCATTATGAACAGTCACTGTTGTGCATCATGGATATGCTGATGGGTATTTGGGTCCAGAGCCTTATGAAGTACTTGTTTGAGACTTCCTCCTAAGGGAAGTGAAAGAAGGGTGGTTTTGTAAGACTTTGTGTGGCTATTTTTTTTTTTTTTTTTTTTTTTTATCTCCCACAAATCACCTTGCAGTTAAAGCTGTTCTCTCTTCTCACTCCGACTCCACACTCTCATATTTTCACCTTTGAAAAATACCTGTAATACATCACTGCTGCTAATCAGACTGCCCCTAACACTGAACAGCCAACAATAGCTTAATGCTAATCTGAAAGATATGGCGAAACTGTGAAATAACAGCAGAAAGTCAGAGTGGTCATTGGATTTTTGGATCTCTTTAGAAAGGTGGGTTTTTTAAGCTTTTTGTGGCTTTTTTTTTTTTTTTTTTTTTTTTAACTGCCTGCTGCTGATTACCTTTTCTGCTGAATTCATTCTGCTGTGGATGAATTATCCATAGGTTTGGTGTCTGAAGAGCAAACTCTTTGCATTTGCTATGCCTAAGTTACTGCTAAAACTGCCATGTGAGGATATCTCAGTACACCTCCAGGCCCCTGCTCCCTGCTCCCCGTGGTGTAGGTTATATGCACATTTGCAAGTCTTTAGCCCCTTGCAGGACTCGCCTGAGTGCAAAACTCTTCAAGAGAGATAAGCAGTAAATCCCTTTGGCTTGTCACAGATGGTTCTTTGTTTGCAAGTGTGTTGTACTGCTCCTGTGGCAACCGAGGGATTTGGATGGGGAAGGTAGATCTTTGATATTAGCTGCTGCTCCTGAGGGCACGCTGGCAGTGAGAGGGGGCTCTGGGGAGGAATTCTGCAGTGTTTGACAGGCTCTGCCTGGTGTAAGTAGGCATCTGTGGCCTGTATCCACAAGCTGGAGGATGAATGAGCGCCGAGCCTCTCTGTAGAATAAGAATACGAGATGGAAGTGAAAATGCTTCCAGCAGAAAATGTGTCATGGGTGGCCAGTATGAAACCCAGGACGAGAACTCATAACGTAATGCACAGGTATTCACTTCAGAAAGGGGATGGGGAGTAATAAAACTACTCCGTAGGGAGAACTGCTGGCCTCCCTTTTCCTGCTTGAGTTGATTACTGCCAACATGAAGAAGAATAAATCTGTTCAGCTGTCTCTTATGGGATGTACTAGCTGCCTGCCACCAACCCCTCATAAGCTGGGAGAGGAACACTCCTGCTGCGTGCTGAGGGCTCCTGCACTCTGCTCCAAAGAGGTGAATGGAGAATCAGCATGATCTACTTCTCTTCCTGTCTCATGCAAGGGACAGTCAGCCATGCAGGCAGGGGGGAAAAAAAACCCCAAACCAACAACCCCTCTACCATCCAGAAAAACACCTCTAAGTATGTGATTGATGTAACTAAAGGTTCTGGTGTCAAGCAGAAAAGCTCTCCTGGCTGGCCTAGTCGGGCTTGTCTTCAACTACTTGCATCTCATGGAGGTAAGGAGCAAAAGCAATAATAGAATTGTTACTGAGTTTCATAGTTACAGTGACACTTGCACTGGTTTTCCTTGGATCTAGCTTGGGTATGGTTTCTCCTGCAGAAATAGAGAAGTGTTGCCTCACAGAAACTAGATAGCCAGCTCCTGAGAAGGCATGATGTATGTGAGAAGTGACTACTGGGGTGCATGGTGCCTTCTTAGGGCTCTGGAGCAGTGTGGGATTGTATTTCAGAGTAACAGTACTGCTATTTTGGTATAAAAATGAAATTACATGGTAAGAATTAATTTGATGTTTGTGGTAAGAATTCAAATATTATGGGGTTGGCACTCAAACTGAACTCCCAGAGGGTTTGCACAGAGGAGCAGTGTGTGCTCTCTGCAGCAAACAGGCTTGGGATTGGATTTGGGCAAGAAAAAAAAAATGCAGTGACATAAGTTTCCAGGTTTGCCATTGCCCAGTTTCTCAACAACTGTTGGTCCCTTCTGTGAGTCCTGAAATAATTAGCAAAATAAGATGATTGCTTAGAGAGCTGAACAAAGAGTACCTGTGGGTGTTTTCTTCCCCCCTCCCCACCCCAGCAGACCAAAGCTGGCCAGTGGAAAGAGTGGCTTGGCAAATGTGAAGAGGCTCATTCAGCCTGATGGGGCTGAGACCGTAGCAGCTACTTGGGAGCTTCAGGGTTCTGTGGTACACGGGTGAAATAGGTCATCCCTCAGAAAAAGTTTTTCATCTCTGCCACTTCTGATACTCTTAAGTAGTTTTGTGGGTTTTTTTCTTTTCAGTGCTGGGAAAGAAAAGCTTAACAAAAGTAGGTTTGAACTAAGATGCTGATCGTATTTGCCTACAAACTGGTTAAAGGAGATCTGGATGGAGGGAAGTGAAATAAGAGCCTGGGAAGGAGAGGGTTAGGCTATAGCTGCTAAAAACGTCCTTTTTAGTAATGCTCTAAAAACACTGTCTGTGCCCTTCAGTCCTGGGAGCTGATTCATATCAAATTTCCAGTCCCGCTCAACAGAGTAAGGAGAGTTCAGTGTGATGTCTGGGTGTTAGGTCTGTGCTTACTGTAGCCTTATTAACCCTTACTGTAGCCTTATTAACCCTTACTGTAGCAGTCTCTTACCTGCTCTTGAAAGACTCGGGGGAATCTGCCTGCAATCTACAAAGGTTATTTTTAACTTTTTCTAAATGTGTGGGTTTTTTTTAAGCTTTGTCTCCATGAATATCAGGCCTAAGGTGAACGCTCGTGCTGCTTGGGTCTGCCTTGATCTATTCCCCCATTGCTCCCAACTGCTTTGCAATTGGACTTTGTCTTCATGGAAAAGCCGAGGTGGTTTTGGGCTGGGGAGGGATCCTCCTCAAGGAGGAATGGAGCAACACTGAATGCATAAAGCTCATAACTTAATGAGGGATCGGTGACTTCAAGCGTAACGGTGCAGAATTGCAGCTCAGACAGTCTCATTCTGTGTGCTGTTCCTGGCTGCTTTCTCTAGGATGCCTCTAGGGTGGGGATGCCTCAGCTTCCCCACCTTTAAAAGTGGATGTAACACCTCCTCTGTAAACTTTTCTGGGGTGGAAAGCCCAGAGAGACTGTTAACTCTTCAGTAAATACGAGACTGAAGTCCTGGTCAGGGAATTATTGTGGAAAATGCTTGTGGTTACAATTGCTATAGCCTAGAGACTGAGTAGGGAAGGAGAGTTTGGTAAAGCTCGCCATACATTTCCTGAGCCAAATTTCTAATGAAGAAAGTGGTTATTCATGAAGTAATTAACACGAAAAATAGCAGGCTGTTAATCTGCTCAACTGTCACAACTTTGTTTTCATAACTTCAGAGAGCTCTAAAAGGGCTGCCTTTCTTCTACAACTTCCAGGTTTCATTAACACTTTGTATTTCTCAAATCTTGCTTGCTGGAGAGAGTGGGGAGGGGAGGAAGGGGCCAGATCCTCAGCCCATGTAAAGGGATAACCACGTTCCCTGCCAGCAGCCCTCTTCTGACAGCAGCCTCTCCTTTAAAAGCATGGCTGCCTTGCCTCCCCGCAGCAGAGCTGGTTAATAAAGATGAAAAAGAGAAAGAAATTCAAACACCTTTGTCAGCAACATCCTAAAAACTCTCCCTTGTGCTTCAGAGAGAGAGAAAGCCCTTTAGCTTAGCCCCACCGGTTTAAACTGCATGGATTTATTAGTAATGCTACTATCTGTAGTGGTTGAAACGTGTCTTAATGCTAATAATTTCCATTATTACTGTGGAGGCTGTGATTTCCATTCCACAGGAGGCTGTGATAGTCTCGTGTGCTGGATGTGACACCCAGGAGGAGACAAACCCCTGCCAAAGGCGGTGGGGGAGGCAGGAGGGGGATGCAGTTCACCCTCCTCCCCATCCTGCAGATCTCCGTGCTCTCCGTTTGCTGGGCTTGCTGCTACGGCCAAGTGGGCACTGGTCACACTCTTTGCTTACCAGCTGACAATTTTCTGTGAGCTCTTGACTAATGATGCTTTTTGTGTGCTGTAGGGACATAGAGTCACATTGGGCAGACACTGCTGACAGTAACACAGCCACCTCAGTTGCCTTCAGTCCTCACTGTCCTTCAGGTCACACTGAAGTTGCCAGGGATGTCATCTTTGCTTTCAAGGCCATGGTGAGCATAACTGTTATAGACAGAAAGATTGGACCCTGTCTGGGATGTATGTAACATGTATGTGCATTGACACACTGACATGGCCAGTAGGTCAAGGGAGGTCACTCTCCCCCTCTACTCTGCACTTGTGAGGCCACAACTGGAATTCTGCATCCAGTTCTGGGCTCCCCAGTTCAAGAGAGACAGGGAACTGCTGGAGAGAGTCCAGTGTAGGGCAACCAAGGTGATTGAGGGATTGGAACATCTCCCTTATGAGGAAAGGCTCAAAGAGCTGGGACTCATTAGCCTGGAGAAGAGAAGGCTGAGGGGAAACCTTATTAATGCTTGTAAGTATCTAAAGGGTGGGTTGAAGACAATGGAGCCGGACTCTTTCCAGTGGTTCCCAGTGACAGGACGAGGGACAATGGGCACAAGCTGGAACATGGGAAGTTCCACTCAAATATGAGAAAAAACTTCTTTCCAGTGAGGGTGACAGAGCCCTGGAACAGGCTGCCCAGGGAGGTCGTGGAGTCCCCTTCTCTGGAGATTTTTCAAAACCTGCCTGGATGAACCCTGAGTGATGAGCTCTGGGCAATCCTGCTTTAGCAGGGGGGTTGGACTGGATGGTCTCTAGAGGTCCCTTCCAACTCTGACAATACTGTGAACCCACCTCCAATGCACTGAGCCCTGAGCCACGGATTACATTCCCCAGGCCTTTCCT